CAGGAAACTGAACTTTATGAGGAGGAACGTGGCATCAGGATTTGAGGAAGTCTCCTAATCTGCGTTATGCAGATAACATAACCTTGCTTGCTGAAACTGAGAAGAACATGAAGCATTTGCTGTAGAAAGTCAAGGACCTGTAGTCTTCAATATGGATTGAAACCTAACATCAAGAAAACAAAGATTCTTGGACCAGTTGGCAGCTTTATGATAGATGGAGAAGAGACTGAGATTGTTAACAACTTTAGCTTGCATGATTCCACAATTAATACTCTTGACACCAGCAGTCAGGAAATCAAAAGATTAATTGCATTGGCAGTCTGTTGTCAGGGACCTCTCTAGAGTGCTGAAGAGCAGTGATGTCAGTGTAGAGATTAAGGTGTGCCTGATAGAGACAATGGGCTTTACAATTACTTGCGATGCATCAGAAAGCTGGACAATAAGGATGACAGAAGAAGGATCTATGCCTTTGAGCTGTGGTGCTGGAGAAGAGTGATGAACATACTGTGTACTGCCAGGAAAACAAACAGGTTTGACCTGGAGAAGGTGAAACCAAGCTACTCCTTAAAGGCAAGTATTTTGAAGCTCCATTTCACATACTTGGGTCACATGACCAGGAAAGACCAGTCCTTGGGGAAAGACATCATGCTTGGAAAGGATAGCACAGAAGAGAAGATCCAGGATGAAATGGATTGACTCAGTGACTGGAGAATTGGGCTGAGGTCTGTTGGAGATGGTGAAATTGGGTCAGGATAGGGCAGAGTTTGGAGTTAATAAGACACTGTGAGTTGCAGGTGATACAATGGCATACAACAACAACTAGTCTTTTTAGAAGGATTTCTGGTGGTGCAATGTTTAAGTGCTCAGCAGCTAGTTTTCAGCTGCTTAAACCCACAAGCCAGTAGAAGAGAAGGAGACCTGACAGTGTGCCCCCTCTCACAGAGCCTGGGAAACCTGGTGGACAGTTCTGCTTATAGGCTGCTGTGAGTCCACACTGTCGTACAGGGTCACTCTGAGGTGGAATCCACTCCACGGAACACCACTCTTCTTTGCATTGAGGATTCCTATTTTGTTTATAGCTATTTCAACTATAGATGTAATAAATTTGGTTCTAAAGATTCTTTTCACATTAACATTTGTGTCCATCTGGAATTTATTTTGGGGTTTAGTATAAAGCAAAGTAGAAAATCAGCTTTATTTTCTTCCAGATGGATAATTGATTGTGCCAACATCATTTATGATGTAAACCACATTTTACCTTTTAATTTCAATACCAGCTTGTCATTTATTATATTCCACATATACTAAGATCTGGTTTGGGGCTTTTTATTCTCCTCCACTCATCTATTTATCTAATCCTGTATTAATGTCATTCTAGTTTGGTTAAAATGATTTTACAACATGTTTTAATATCTGATAAGGTAAGTCAGTCCTCAGTATTCTTTTGTAATTTTCTTGCTTATCTTCAGGCACTTTATCCATATTAAATTGACTCTGGTATAATATAATTAAAATTCTATTTGAATTCTAATTAAACTTTTAATTAAATTTATGCATTAAATTTTGGGGAAAGTGATGAAGAAGAAATAAGTAAGTCTTCATTTACTAAACAAGAAAACACACAAGAGAAATACACGTTTTCCAAAATTAGATCCTGTAGACAGAAAAGTAAGTGTAGATATAGAAGAACTGGCAAATGCACCAGCAAATGCACTGTCATCTAATTCTTTCCAATTCACATCCACCTCACGGTACTTAGTAGAATGACTATAGAGGTTTTCTGAGATTTTAAGTCTTTATGGGCATAGAGGACCACACCTTTTCCCTGAAGAATGTCTGGTGGACTGGAACCAACAACCTTTTGATTAGTATCCCAATGTATAACCTACTATGCCAATTGGCTCCAAACTACTAAATGTAGAAATGCAGAACTATATCCCATGTGCAACTCTATGAAGAATTAAAAAATCTGTTGCTGTTGAGTTGGTGACAGCTCCTTGAGTGCTAAGTGAAACTGTGTTCCCTGAGATTTTCAATGGCTGATTTCTCAGAAGTAATGCACCAAGCCTTTCTTCCAAGGCACCTGTGTGGACTCAAATTTTCAAGATATTAGTCAACTGTCAAGCAGCGCCAGGATCCCTGAAGTATTAAGGTGACACTCAGCAAAAGAAGTTCATGAATCATTTGAATATCTTCCTCTGTGAAAGTTCTTTCCATGTCTTTTGTCCATTTTGTGGAGGCTCAGGGGTATTGTGTAAACTTTTGTTATGAGACTCTTGTCTGAGATGGTATTGCCAAATATTTGTTCTTAGCCAGTATATATTCCTTTCACCCTCTTGGGAAAAGTTTTTGATACACACAAGGATTTAATCTTTAGAAGGTCCCATTCCTCAATTTTATCCTTTTCATATTGTGCAATTCTGGCTGTATTTAGCAGACTATTTATATCATAGACTAGGCTTTCTAAGCTTGATCCCAGTTTGTCACTTAATAATGTTATGGTTTAGGGCTTTACTCCCAAGTCTCTGATCCACTTTGAGGTGATATTTGTGTATAGTGTGTGAGATGTGGATCCTGTTTCAACTTTCTGTAGGTAGCAGTTCAGTTTTGCCAGCACCATTTGTTGAAGAGGTTGTCATTTCCCCATTTAATAGGTTTTGTTTCCTTGTCAATTATCAGTTGACCATAAATAGTTACATCTATTTCTGGGTACTCAATTCTGTTCCATTGGTCTGTGTGCCTGTCATTGTACCAGTTCCATGCGTACTAAGCCTCCCCCTACATTTTTGCTTCTCAGAAGTGTTTTGCTTATTTGGGATCTCTTGCCTTATTCTAATGGCCAACAGACACGTGAAGAAACACACTAAATTACTGGCAATAAAAGAGATGCAGATCAAAACCACAATGAGCTACCATCTTACTCCAGGAGCAGTGGCAAAGTTTAACAGGACAACAAGTAATAAATGTTAGAGAGGATGTGGTGAGATAGAAGCTCTTATACATTGTAGGTGGGATTGCAAAATGGTATAACCATTCTAGAAGGCAGTTTGGCACTTCCTCAAAAAGCTGAATATAGAAATTCCATATGACCCAGCTATTCTACTACTTGAAATACACCCTGAGAAAATGAGAACTGAAGCACAGAGACTTGTATACCAATGTTCAGAGCAGTGTTATTCACCATTGCAAGAACATGGAAAGATATCCAACCACAGTGGATTGGATTGAGAAGTTATGGTACAGTCACACAATGGAATACTATGCAGCACTCAAGAGCAATGATTTTGTAAATTATTACCTAACTTGGGAGGTACTGGAGAGCATTATGCTGGATGAACTAACTCAATACCATAAAGATGAATACTGTATAAAACCATTATTATAGAATAAGTATGAGAATCCGGGGGGAAGGGGGTGGATGTGAATGCATAGGAGTAAGGATGGGCAGGGGAGGAGGCTGTTAATCATAGGGTCGTACAAGTTGAAGGAAATGGGAAAGACCCTGTTTGAAAAAAATGTATTAACTGTGTAAATAAACTAGGATATAATAGTAATAATAATAATAACAAAAATAATAATAAATATATGAAAAAAATAAAAATCTATTCAGGACCATGAAACATTATTTGAATAAATGCATACTGTATGATTGGCTGGGAAAGTTTACTATTTTTAGACTCAGTTTTGTCCAATTTAACATATAAATTTATTGTATTGCCAATTAGAGTCATACCAGACCTTATCTCAAACCCTCCCTTTGGCTAGACCTTGCCAGGGATGCAAGCACAAGGAATGAAAACCTTACAAAGAAACTTGGATGTAATCCCATTGTGTCACGTTTCACCTGCTGAAGTATATACCAAGTACCTTGCCAAGTAAAATGTTAATATTATTAGGATCTCTTGTTGTCACAAAAAGTTAAACTGAAGCACAGAAATATAGGCCTCAGAAACTCTGCCAAATTTATCAGCTGGCTGCTAACAGAAAATTTGGTGGTCCAAATCCACCCAGAGGCACCTTAGAAGAAAGGCCTGGAAAACTCCTTGTCAAAAATCTGCCACAAGTTTAACAGGACAAGCAGTAAATGTTGGAGAGGATGTGGAAAGATTGGAACTCCCATGCACTGTTGGTGGCATAGTAAAATGGTACAATCACGCAGAAAGACACTTTGGCAATTCCTCAAAAAAGCTGAACATAGACATTTCATATGACCCAGCTATTCCACTGCTTGGACTATAACCCCAGGAAAATGGAACTGAGACACAAACAGAGTCTTGTACACCAATGTTCATACCAGCATTAGTCACAATCGCAAGAACAGCACCAATGTCCATCAACAAACAAATGGACTGAAAATTATGGTACATTCACATTAATGGAATACTATGTGGCACTCAGGAGCAATGATTTTCAAAATTACTACATAATATGGAAAAGGCGTTATACTGAGTGAACTCAGTCTCATAAAGACAAATATTGCATAAGACCATTACTGTAATAATAATAGAATGATAACCAGTAAGATGTGTATGAGTGTCCCAAGAAGGAAGGGGGGGTGGGGTGGGAGGGCTGAGCATGATGGGAGGGGAATCACTGAAATAAGAGAGTTTTGTAGGCAAAGAGAGGGGGTGAAGGAATTAGGGGGTGAAAATCTGGGGATTCTGAAAAGACAGGTAGTAGTGGGCACAGATCAATGGTGATTGATTTTATAAGACACAATATGAAAAAATCATATGGAATAAAATATAAAAGAAAGACTGTATAAAACACAATTATAAAAGGAACACACAGAAAGAATCAGCCACTGAAAGACAGCTCTAAGGAGCACGATTCTACTCAACACACATGGGCCACTATGAGTTGAAGCCAACTGAATGATAGCTAGTTTTGCTGGGTTTGATGGTGGTGTTTTGAATATTATGGTAATAGAGAAATCCTGCCTAGAGAAAGTGAACCAATGAGGAAATGTAAAATCAGGACTTTGTTATTGTTCCTTTTAGGATTGTTCTCTTCTATTATGAGGGAGCTTGCCAACATCACTCATGATGGGCCCAAGTGGATTTTGCTGGATGGTGATATAGACCCCATGTGGATTGAGTCTCTGAACACTGTCATGGATGATAACAAGGTAGCAAGGGGAGCAGGGGGAGGATCCCCACAATATTGCTAAGTCTGGCTTCACAAGGGGGTGTGGAGAGTATCAACCACACTGGGTGATGCCGTTAAAAGGGTGACAATAAAATCACCATCTATAGCATTTTTTTGTGCAGTATTTCAGCAGATATCATTTTTTAAATAAAAATATCCCTGAGGTTAGTTATAGTAAGCAGCAAAAGCAGTGCTCACAAACCCAGCTTATGTGTGTCAGTTTACCTATAAGGTTAATTCACTTTGATCCAAGCTTTCATTATCATTAAATCACAGTGACTTTTTGAATCATGTGGTTTCACCTACATGTGCTTGGAAGCTGTTTTTGTTGCTTCCAATGTTGTCATAGTCCCTGATTTTGTAATATTTTCTGGTGTTTCAGCCATAATGTCGTTGTAATTTGTGCGTATGAACCTATGTAAATTTGGGAGGGGAATGAATTCATAATTAGAAGAGAAATCATAATACAAGGAGAAAAATTTTAAAAGATGTCTGTCACCTATAAATATTATAACTAACAATGTTGTAATTCAGGTAGAATAATTTTACAAAACAATTTTGTATTTGTTGCTGTTAGGTGCCATCAAATTGAATACACCCCATAACAACGCTGTGAACAACGGCTCCATACCCTGTCCTATCCTGTGTTATCCTCAAAAACTCTGACACACTCAAGGCCATAGCTGCAGTCACTGGTCAATCCACCTGACAGGAGCATGTGGGGTGGCATGTCTGACCATGTATTTATTTGTATTGTACTATGGGTATTGGAGCTCTGGTGGCCTAGTAGTAAGAATCTGCACTGAAATCTCAAAGGTATGTGTTTGAATCTATCAGCTGCTCTATGGGAGAAGGATAAGCAGTATCCTTCCATGCAATTAACTGCCTCTGAAAACCCAGTGAAAAGTCAGCTATGGATCAGTTCTGACTCGAGGTACATAACAACAACAACAACAATGAATATTATTGATGGGAAACATTCCCCACTCTCACGTTACATCTCCCCCTTAAACAATAATAAACCTTCCAAAGGGTTCTTATTAGCACTGGTGGTGTAGTGGCAAAAAGCTGAGCTATAAACCTAAAGGCAAGTGGTTCGAATCCACCAGCTGGTCTGTGGGAGAAGATGGACAGTCTCCTCCTATGCTATTAACTGCCTCTGAAAACCTGCTAGAGGGTCAGCTATGGGTCATTTATGACTCGATGGTCCACAACAACAATATCAAGGATTGTTATGCTTGGACAATTCAAAGTTCAGTTAAAGAGAGGAAGAGTGAGCTGGACTGACACAGTGACTGTAGCAATGGGCTTGACGATGGCAGAGGGTGTTAGGATGTCTATTATGATCTATTATTCGTAGGGTTTCTAGGAGTTGTAGTCAACACAATGGCACCTGAAAACAGTACAGGTTCTTATGTTGTGGTCCATGAGAGTGTGGAGTAGACACAGTGAACTACTGTCCTGGGTGGCACTAAACCTGGACACTGTGGTCCTAAGTGTCTATGAAACTAGTCCGCTCATGAGGTGAGCATGTTAGGATATCTTGATTGCACATGAAAAATTATTCCCACACCCTGATGCCTTTCACAGACATCTCAGAACCACCTGTTCTGCTTAAGGTACTTTTGCTCACTTTGTTGTTACTGCCATTGTTGGCAATTACATAATTACATTGTTAGTATTTCCATCGACATCTTCCTCACATAGGTTAACTTAACCCTCAAAGAAGACCTTAAAATTGTCTACTCAAATCTTATTTCTTACAACTGACATTTCTCTAATAAATGGAAAACAAAGGTTCAGAAACATTCTGAGCCTTACCAGTTAGTGATAAATATTTATATATTTGAGTATATTTTTTTACAAAGAATCTAACTTAATGTGAAGAAAATCAGTGTTTAAGTGATAATATCATTGTCAAGGATATTCTCCATGCTACTTACAAACTTCTTTGAAAACCAGACTGAGGGTAGAGGTTATAAAATTATTTCAGTCTTCAAATAATCATTAGGATAGACATATGTTCTCCCAAAGAGAAGGAACAGTTACCATAAGAAACTTGAGCTCTTTTCCATTTAAATAAATACCTAATTGAGTATGATCTAGAAAGACCTGGAAATCAACTTCAGAGAAAACGAGCCAATAAAACCCTCATAGGTCACAAAAACCTGATCTGCATCAGATCATGGAGAAGGCATGACACCAGGCACTGTTCCATTCTATTTTGCATTAAGCTAGCCATCAGCAAAAATGCCAGCTAACACCACCACTTAGGTGTCAGGGAGTTGACTCTCACTCATGATGCAAGGGCATTTGACCATGTGCATCATAGCAAATTATGGATGAAATCAAGAAGAAGGGGAATCCCAGAACACTTAAATTTTTCTACTGTGAAACTTATATGTAGACCAAGGGGCTAGAGTCCAAAAAAGCAGAAAAGTGTGCTTCAGAGATGTATCCTTTCTCTATCCTATTATATCTCTATGCTGGGAAAATAATTTGAGAAGCTAGACTTTGTAAAAAGAATGTGGCATCAGAATTGGGGAAGATTCATAAAACCTGCAGATGATACAACTTTGCTTGGTGAAAGCTAGGAGAACTTGGGGTGCTTATTAGAGAAGATCAAAGACTAGAGCTTTCATTATGGATTAAAGTTCAACATCAAGATAAGAAAAATCCTTGCAACTGAGCCAACAGACATCATGATAGAAGATTGAAATCTTGCTTGGATCCAAAATCATCACCCTTGGTGACAACAGTAAAGAAGTCAAAAGACAATTTTCAATGGGGAAATATGTTGTCAAAAACCTAACAAGGTGCAGAGGAGCAGTTATATTAGTTTAAAGACTAAGGTGCACCTATTTCAAGTCATAGTATTTTCTGTCACTCGCTGTGCATCTGATAGTTGGACAATGACTAATGGACAGTGACTAAGGATGACAGCAGAAGGATAAATACTTTTGAGTTGTGGAATTGGAAAAGAGTAGTGAATATAGAATTCCAAAAGAACAAACACATTTGTCTTGGAGAAGGTGCAGCCAGGATTCTCCTTAAAAGCAGGCTTAATGAAACTTCATATCTCATACTTTGAGCTTGTCCTCAGTAAGGAACATGATGCTTGGAAAGATAGAAGAAGATCAGTGAAAGAGAAGAGCCTCCAGAAAATGGGCTGACACAGTGACTGCAGCAATGGGCTCAAGTATGTCAGAAATGATGAGGATGGCACAGTATAGAACAGAGTTCAGGTCTGCTGTTCATATGGTCACTGTGAATCATCATCAGCTTGACAGCACCTCACAACAACAACATGATGCCTCATATATTTCAGAGTAGAAATAGAATTTTCTAATCACTGATCTTCCAGAAGTAGATTGCTATGTCTGTCTTTCAAAGGCCCCTTTGGATGATCTCAAAGCCCCTTTCTTTTAGTTAGTAGCCAGAAGCATTAACCACTTGAACCCCCCCCCAAGCATGCTCACCAAGAAAATGGAGTTTAATTTTCAGCCATCAGTTTAAAGTTCTCAATTAACAGTTGCTGGTGTTTGGGGTTTTTTTGTTTTGTTGAATATTTTCTTAATTCAATACATAGAGATGGATATGGAGGGAATTCAGGGTAGGGGGTTGTTATAAGAAAGATAGAAAATACTTATGCTAATAATTTTTCAAAGAATGAGCCCACCAAGTGGACATGGATCCCATTGCCTTCCTAACATGTGTGTGCCACTCTGTGTTTCCAGGTGCTGACTCTGGCAAGCAATGAGAGGATCCCTCTTAACCCCACCATGAGGCTGCTCTTTGAAATCAGCCATCTGCGCACAGCCACCCCAGCAACCGTGTCTCGAGCAGGTATGGCCCAAAAGAGAAAAGTAACATCAACTTCACAGTGAGAGACAAATGCCTCTAGTTTCACCAGGACCATTGTTGGCTCCAGAGGAAGTTCCAAGGAGGAGCCAGAAACCAGTCATCTAAAACTCTGGCCTAGTGGAGCTTTGGTGGCCTAGTGGCAAGAAGCTGTGCTGCAATACCAAAGGCATGCTGTTCTAGGCCACCAGCTTCGCCGCGGGAGAAGGATGGGCAATCACTTCCCGTACGATTAACTGCCTCTGAAAACCTGCTGGAGGGTCAGCTGTGGGTCGGTTCCGATTTGACAGTACACAACAACAACAGTGCTCTGTCATAATGCACATGAAGCAGCAGAAGCACTAATAGTAAACCCAGAACCACAGGGATTCTTCCCTGAGCTGGATGGCTGGACAGCTGTCCACTGCACAGAAGCACCAGGATTAGGCTGCATTTAGCTCAGATTTAGTTTGCATTTCAACTGAGATGACCTAGCCTTGCAATTTTTCATTAAATCCTAGTTATCAACCCCAGAGCTTAGCATTTCTTTTTCTCTACTGGATGAATTTATCAGCCCACACTACAGAATAAAAAGGACTTATTTGCTGTCTTCAGATAAGATCTGTTTCCCTTTCAAAGGCCTATGCTGAAGTTAAAGAGCCCAGGTGACAATGTTTCCTATTTTGTATTCATTTCCTGTGGCTGCCAAATTATTACAACTTGTGTCTTGAACCAACAGAAATTTAGCATCTCATGTTGTTATGATCAGAAGTCCAAACAAAGGTTCTGGCACAGCATTGTTCCCTCTGACGTCTTTAGTGATGAGACTTTCCTTTCCACTTCCAATGACTCTCCAGCTGGAGGTATTCCGTGGCTTGTGGTCACATCATTCCAATCTCCACCTCCATCGTAGCATTGCATTTTCCTCTAACTGTGTTTCCCCTCTTTTAAAAAATTTTATTTTATTTTGGTTTGCATACAGAATTTGTATACATTGATTTACACATTGACTCATTCACCTTGTGTTTCATATGATTATTCCCATATATTATGTTTTATAAAATTAATCACCATTGATCTGTGCCTATCATTATTATTTCAGATCCCCACTGGATCTTTCCTAATTCTTCCACACTGTCCCTCTCCTCACTCAGCTGTACAACCCCATTACTTCCTCCTCTCCCTACCCTCAGCTCCCTAGCTCTCTATCTCCTTGGACTTTCATATACATCTTACTAGTTATCCTTCTAATTTCACAATAATTATCATATGCTGTATTTGTCATTATGAGACTGAGTTAATTCACTTAGAAATGATCCTCTCAGATAATCCAAAATCCAGACTCTCCATGTCATTACATCTATAAAGACTTTTCCCAAATAAGCTCAGATTGCCAGATTCCAAGATTAAGACCTAAACATATCTTTTTTTAGAAGCCACTATTCAATCCACTACACACTTTATCAGAATAAGTCTTGATGATAAATCATATTCTTCTCCTTCTTCCTAAACACCAACTTGATTTTGATGCTTGTCAACATAGGTCTTCATACAGCTATGATTATCAATCAATTAGAGTTGATCCTCAAGAATAAACCCCCCTGTCCATTCACATGTAGATAAGAACTTTATTCTTTTTCAATCCAGTTCTTCTGTCAGTTTTCTTAATAGGAAAAAAATTAGTCTGATGGGAAGACATGCTAACATTTATGAAACCATTACTATACGATATTCTCTGTGTTCCCAGGGATCTTGTACATCAACCCAGCAGACCTAGGATGGAACCCTCCAGTGAGCAGCTGGATTGACAAGAGGGAAATGCAGACAGAGAGAGCAAACCTAACCATTCTCTTTGACAAATACCTTCCAATCTGCTTAGACACCCTCCGAACCAGGTAAGCCACGGAACCAGGAAGGTAGCAAGATGGAGCAGCTGTAAAACACCTGTTGGCTCATACTTGATATCCTGATGATGTGCTGATGTTCTGTTCTATCTCCAAAGTCAAATGTCCTCAGAGCATTCCTCCTCCAGGCAAGGCATATGGCAGTGGGGATGCACATTCACAATGGCCATGGGTTGCTTGTTTTCAGTTCAGGGAAAGGAGAATAATTAAAGTCTATTTGTAGATGTACCTAAAGGTAACCATTGGATGTCTTACCAGATAATAGCCTAAGACTTGTACCTTTCTGTCTTTATGGCAAGTAGCTCATTCCCTTCCTAGACTAGAACAAAACACCAGGAAATGGATTCTTTTAAGCCACAGAAGGGTATTAACCTAAAGCTGTTGAGACTGAAGTCCAAGTTAGGTTGTCACCTCTAAGGGAAGATCCTTCTTAGTCTCTTTCAGCTTCTAGTAGCTGCTAGTTTGGGGTTCCTGAGCTTATAGATCCATCTGCCTCTATGGTTACATGATAGTCACATGATCACATGATGATCCTTTTGTTTGTCTTTCTGAATCTGTTCTCCTTTTTATAAAGCACTGCTAAAAATAAAAGATTAGGTTGAGGACCTACTCTACTCCATGATATTGTTCTCTACCATCAAATAACTGCAACTTGTAGCATCACTGTATAAAAAAGTTCTGAATCCTATCTTATCCTGAGCCAGTCTCACTGTCTCTGACACACTTGCCCTTATTACCCCTGTTACTGTGTCAGTCTATCTCATCTAGGGTCTTCCTCTCCTGCATTGTCCCTCCACCCTTCCAAGCATGATGTTCTTCTCCAAGGACTGGTCCCTTCTGAGCACGTGCCCAAAGTATGTGAGACAGATCCTCAAAATCCTTGCTTTCAGTGAGCAGATTGCTTTCACCTTTTCCAGAACAGACTTGTTTGTTCTCTTGGTATGTTTAATACTCTTCTCCAGCACCACAACTCAAAGCTATCAATTATTCTATTGTCCTTAGTCATTGCCCAGCTCTCTGATGTCTAACAAGTAATTGTGAAGACTTTGAGCAGGCACACCTTAGCCTCTAGACTGTTTGATAAATTCCACACCCTGTCAGATCACCTTTTTCTTTTTTTTTTTTTGCAATGGGAATAAATCTGGATCTCTTCTAGTCAGTTGGTCAGGTAGCTGTCTTTTAGATTTCTTAGCACTGATGAACATGCCCAGTGCTGTATCTGTTGAAATATGTCAGTCAGTATGCCATCAATTCTTGAAGACTTGTTTTTTCTGGTTTCTTCAGAGCAGCTTGAACTTCCTCTTTCATCACCATTGCCTCTTGTTCATATGTTGTTGTATGAAATTCTTTGTCAGCCAGTTCTTTTTGGTACAGTGACCCTGTGTACTCCTTCCATATTCTTTTATTTTTAAAAATTTGAAACAAAATTTATGTTCTATTAAAATAGAAATAAACTGTAAAAATTTATTTTCTTCATGAAAAATAACAATAGTAATTTCTGTATTCTTTCTATATAGACCACAAAACACTTATTTGTGTATGTTTTTCCAGGTTTTGCTTATAAATCAAGAAGAGGAAGTAGATATAATAGTGTTCTATCTTTTTCCACAAATGTATCTACTCCTTCCATAGTTTTTGATACTTCTTGGATAATTCAATACTCTGCCCAAAGCATCCTTAAGTATTTCAACTTGAGGCTTGAATGTATTTGTCATTTCCTTCAACTTAAGAAATGCCAAGTTATTTAATGAAAGAAAAACTAAACAGGGCCATATAGGTATTATTTGCAGGACAACAGTCCAGAATAAGAGCTGCATAGCAAAATGGACTGGGAACGGGGGCGGGGGCTGGTTGGAGAATTGTGCAAAAATGAAAGAATCTTTTTAAAGAGAAATTGTTAATGGGGAGATAGGGAGGAAAAATATGCAAAATGAATGAATGGAAATCCAAGTGTTCTGTAAACTTTTGTTCAAGTTTTGACAAAAATTTTTAAAAAGATAAAAAATAAGAACAGAAATTAGGTCTTGGCCATTATTTTTTGAGGAACACATCCTTCTACATATTCATAACACCCTTCTGTAAGTAACCCACAGATTAGGCCATGATGTGAAGATACCACTTATAAGTGACAAATGAGATTACTTCCCACTCCTTTGTGTGCGTTTGTCCATGACCCAGACAATATGTGATTAGGTAGACCTCCTCCTCACTTGACCAGTCCTGTCCCTCTGGACACTGGGAGTTCACTTTACTCCTTAAGGATTTGTCAAAAGCAAAAGCATCAAACCTTGCCCACTTGCCATTTAATGAAGAGGTTACTCTTAGCTAAAAGTGTACTTACTATAATTTGTTATTTACAGTGTCACTATGAGTCTTAGACAACTCAATAGTACCTAACAACAGTAACAACATCACCACACATTATTTTTGTATATGTCTGCAGAAAAAGGACAGGACATTTGAAACATGTTTTGGTTGAGGCTCTCTTTTGATGCAATTGATGCATCTATAAAGATGGCTTTCAACTTCATCAAACCCCAGAAATCCATAGTCACATAAATTCTGACCAACAGCAATTCTCCATCGGGTTTATGAGGCCGTAAATAGTAATGGAAGGAGACTTCCCATTTCCTCCCACAGATCATCTGGTATATTTGAATTGTTAGCCTTTATGTTAAAATTGTAACACACAGTACACTGTAATACTTGGTACCCAAAGCCATAGGCTTGAGCTTCATCCTTCATTATTATCAACTCTTGTTCCTATGGTACTTCCTGAGTTCAAGCTGCACTGATGGAATTGACAACAAATAATGCTCCAGAAATTGATGGAATACCAATTCACAGGTTTGAATAACAGATGTAGTGCCAAATATGCTCACCAGTTTATGCCAGAAAGTTTGGAGGACAGTTACCTGACCAACAGACTGGCGGAGAACCATATTTGTCCCCATTCCCAGGAAAAGAGATCTAACAAAATGCAGAAATAATAATATAATTAATACCTCATGCAAGAAAATTATTCTTAAAGATCATTCAAAAATGACTAGAACAGTAGGTTGACAGGGAACTGCCAGAAGTTCAAGCAGGATTTAGAAAAGGCTGCAGCACCAGAGAGATCATTGTTGGTATCAGATGGATCCTGACTGAAAACAAAAAATACCATAAGAATGTCTATTTGTGACTACTGACTATGCAAAGGTATTTGACTTGGCAGATTGTGACAAATTATGGCTAACAGAATAGTGGAATCCTAGAACACTTAATTGTGATCATATGAAATCTATACCCAGACCAAGAAGCTGTTGCCTAAACCAAGCAAAGGAACACTGAATAGTTTAAATTCAGATTTAAATTCTGTGTGTTAGAGCTGGATCCTTTCCACATACATATTCATCCTGTATGCTGAGCAAATAATCAATGAAGCTGGACTCTATATAAAGAAGAATATGGCATCAGAATTGGAGGAAGACTCATCAGCAACCTGTGTTATGCATATGACACAACTTAGCTTGCTGGTAGGGTGGAGCATAAAAACAACAACAACAACAACAACAACAACAACAACAAAACACTTGTTGCAGAAAATCAAGTCTACATCCTTCAGTAGGGATTACATTTCAACATCAAGAAAACAAAGATCTTCACCACATGACCAGAAGTTAGCATAATGACAGATATCACTGAGAAAGGATTGAAACTGTCAATTATTTCATCTTTCTTGGATCAACAATCAGCACCTTTGGAACTAGCATTCAGGAAATCAGGAGACATATTTCATTGGCAGGTATGCTGTCAGGGACCTCTCCAAAATACTGACAAGCAATTATGCCACTTTGAAGACTAATGTGCACCTGATTCATGCCATGGTCTTCTCAGTCACCTGCTATGCATCAGAGAGCTGGACAATAAATAAGGAAGACAAAAGAAGAATTGATGCCTTTGAGTTGTGGTGCTGAAGAAGAGTACTGAATATCCCAAGGACTTCTAAAAGAACAAACAGATAAGTATTGGAAAAGTTCAGCCAGAGTCCTGTTCGGAGGCAAGTTGGCAAAGCTTCATCTTTCACACTTTGAACATGTAGCTTAGGTGAGGCTATTCTTTGGAAAGGGACATCATACTGTGAAAGATGGAAAGTCGGCAAAGGAGAAAAAGACCTCCAATGAGATGGATTGACATATTGACTTCAGCAATGGGCTCGGATGTGTCAGAAATGATGAAGCAGGATTCAGGTCAGCTCTACACAGGGTTGCTATGAGTCATACCCAAGTTAACGTACTATACAACAACATAGCCATAGGTAAAAGGCTAAGATTTACAGCATGCTTTTTGGAGCGACAGTTCAACTCAGAGCAGCACTCATTATGACTCTTAAGCTGTTTATTTGTTTTATTTTTTTAACAATTGAGGAAATTGTGAGGGAGTGACACTCTCAAAAACTCATGCATAACCATTGAGTTGAACCAACTCAAAGCTGACCCTCCACTGGGTTTCCAAAACTGTAAGTATCATTAAAGGGGATTGCCCATCTTTCTCCCTCAGAGCTCCTAGTAAATTCAAACTGTCAGAGATCAGCAGCAGCCTTTGTGTTAGGAACACCACTCCCTGTAGTCTACTCCTCCAGAGTTCCATGCTTTGTTGCAGTTGCTGTATTACTCAAGAACTAAAGGTGAATCATCAATATTTAAAGAAAAGAAGCAGAAAGGGAAGGTTTCAGAAGGAATAAATGAGAGAAAGATACTAAATTTCTTAGGAATGTTGTTGCAGAATTGTCACTGTCTGTTCACTGGCAACAAACAGCAACACCCTGACGGGGGTAAGCATGACAGAGACACACCACTCTGGGAGCCTATCAGAGAGTCAGTCCAGCTTAATTGTACTGGGGGGTTGCAGCGCACTTATATATGAGCAAGTAAACACGAAGACAGGATATGGTGGGCTTGTAGACATGGGACATGTGGATTGAGTAGGAGAACTTCAGCCTTGTACAGACTACTCCCAGCCCAACAGATCCTGCAGCCACCTTCCCAGGTGGCAAGCTTTCTCAAGCCAGTATGGCCAAACACAGGAGAGCTTTCTCTACCCAGCATTAAAGGCTGTTGGGAGGCTTGCACTTATCTGGAGCTTAGGCAATCTGTCCTGGCCAGAGACCCTCCCTTCCTCCCCAACATTCCCCAACACAAAATACCACAAACTAGGCAGTCTTTTCAACTACTCTATGCATCTGAGAACTGGACGTTGAATAAAGATGACAGAAGAATTGATGTCTTTTAAGTTGTGGTGTGGGAGAACAGTACTGAGTATCCCAAAGAATTTCAGAAGAACAAATAAATATGTCTTGGAGAAGGTGTAGCCAGAGCGCTCCTTGGAGGCAAAGATAACAAAGCTTCGTCTCACATACTTTGGGCTTGTTGCTAAGAGTGGCTATTCCTTGGAGAGGGACAACAGTGAAGGTGAAGGGACAGTGAAAGAGAGGAAGATCTTCAATCAGATGGATGTAACTGCACCAAAGGTCTCAAGTGTGTCAGAGATGTTGAGGATGGCTCAGGATAGGTCAGGGTTCAGATCAGTTGTTCATAGGGTTTCTATGGATTGTGCTGGACTCAGTAGCATCTAGCAACAACAGGTGACTTATAAGAACAAAATGTATTGTCTCACAATTATAGATACTGATAGTCCAAAATCAAAGGGTCCACCATGTTGATTCTTTTTGAGGGCTCTGTCCCACGCATCTCTCCTAGCTTCTGACAATAGTTGACATTCTTTTACTTGTTGATCACTCCAATTTCTTCCTCTGTCCTCACTTGGAAAACTCTCTGTGTTTTTCTCTGTTTATTCTTCTCTTTTTACAAAGATATCATTCACATTATATTAGAGCCCACTCTAATCCCCTATGACTTCACACTAATTTAACTGATAACATCTTTTTAAAACTCTATTTTCAAAGAAAATCATTTGTACAAGTTCCAGAGATTAGGGCTTGAACATACCAGCTTGGAGGATGCAGTTTAACCCATAACAGAGACTTCATGGTGAACTCAGTGTCCTTTCTTTCTTTACAAAGGGAATTGATTCAAGAACAACAATGAAAACAATAATCATGGTCTTCTTAATCCCAAATAACATGGTAAATCATGACTCTGCTTATACCAAATGGGCTAAGTAAGTAGCCAACGGCACATCTAGAGAAGAATGCCCATGGCATTTTATAACATTTTCTGGTATCTCTTTGCAGATTTAAGAAGATTATTCCAATCCCAGAACACAGCATGGTTCAGATGCTGTGCCACCTTCTGGAGTGCCTCCTGACCAAGGAAGATATCCCCATGGACTGCCCCAAAGAAATTTATGAACTTTATTTTGTGTTTGCTGCTATCTGGGCTTTTGGCGGAGCCATGGTTCAAGATCAGGTGAGGATGTGCTGATGTTACCATGTAAAGGTGTAGAGGTGGCATGAGGACCACAAAGGAGTCCAAAAGGAAGGAACTGTTCCCATCAACAACCTCCACAGTATAAGCCTAATTGCTGAGAGCTGAGTCATGGGCCCCACACTCCTGCACTTACTTCTCATAATAGTAACACCAAACATCCCTCTCAGGGCTCTCACCACTCTATTCCTGGTTCAAAATCTGTTACAATGGCCACACAGATCTCACAGAACCATACTCTCAGTTATGAAGTTTATTAGAGAAGTTAACAGGTTATGATTCAGGTTGGCAACAGGATACACTTCCTCAGTCAGGAAAGCTTCTCAAGTGTGGTCCTAGATTCTTTGACCTTCAGTGTTACAAAATTGTCTTGCCAATTATAATGTCTCCCCTCAGTCCTCCAGAAAGCTTGAGTGAAAACCCCTGACTCTGGCTCCATGGGGTAGCACTCCCGAGTCAGCGACGTCTCATGGTGGTCCATGGTTCTTCACTGAAGTGGCTCTGGCCCCATAGGACACACACTGCATTCTTCACTTCTTCTTTCATGTTGGTAATGAAATTTCTCTCTTCTGCTGCTAAACATGCTTTATTTAAAGTTGGTAAGATGGGAAAACTGGCCAGTTCCATCACAAATCTTTTATACACATTCTATTTCATGTGATGAAAGTAAAAATTGATGGCTAGGAAATTAATTTTCAGCAAAAATCCCATGATACCAAATACTACCACATTCTGTCCTGCATAGGAAAAACCTGATTTTCCAACCAAGATTTGAAAGATGATAGTTTGTTTACGGCATTGAAGTCTATGGGGGAGAGAATAGTCTAAAAGTATTATTATCTTAGGGCATTATTTTTATCGTAGGAGTATGCAATGAGGGTTGCAGAGTGGATTATATTTGGGGGTAGGGGGTGGGGTTTGGGGAGGTGCGGGGGGGGGATTGTGTACCAATGAGGGAGTTTTTCTTTTGCTTTTCAAGGAGAGGAGCAAATGGGGGGGGGGAGGGGTTTGTGCGGGGAGAAGGGTGCAACAATGAATGAATGGAATCCCAAAATCTCTGTAGATGTTAATTGAAATGAAAAATAAACAACCTAAATTAAAAAAAAGAAAGGTGATAGTTATGTCTCAGAATTCATTTGAGAGTTCTAGTGGCCTAGTGGCAAAAAGCTGTCCTGTAAACCAGAAGGCACGTGGTTCGAGGCCACTAGCTGCTGCATGGGATAAGGATAGGCAATCTCCTCCCATGTGATTAACTGCCTCTGAAAACCCACTAGAGGGTCAGCTATGGGTCAGTTCTGCCTCTATGGGACAGAAAAACAACAAGAAGATAGTTATATAAGTAATTCTCCACTAAATGGCATCTAACAACAACAACAATGGTAACTGAGCACTAAGTGAAGTTATACCTATGATCTGTACCTAAGGAAAATGATATTGTAAACAACATCAAACTTTCTCCATTGTTGTTGTCTATTGATCCAGTGGTGAGAATTTTTGTTTTCTTGATGCTAAGATGTAACCCATACCAAAAGTCATAGTCTCTGGTCTTCTTCATTAAGTGCATCTGCATAACATGGGTTGTTTATGAGTCTGGAAGTCCAAATCCAGGGTACCAGCTTTGGGGAGAGGCCCTCTCTCGCTGCTGATTCCAGAAGAACGTCTTTGTTTCCTTCAGCACCTGGAGGCTAGAATTTCTTGGACCTCTCCTAGTAGCTTGATCTTCCCCACTGTCAAGGAGTTTCTATGCATAGAGACCTTGATTGAGAAGGATGCACTCCACTCCTACTGATGATTTTTTGGTGATACTGAGGTCCCTACTCTCCACTCTGACCTACTTTGCTCCCCTTTTATTTTACATGCTGTACCCTAGAGAAACTTCCCTTTCTGGGGTAGGATTAAGGAATATTTCATTCTACCCTCAAATCCCTAGCTGGTTTATCAGACAATGAGGAATCTTACATGTATTATCTATCATTACATAGGGGGGTTCTTACATGAATCTGGAGGTTCTTACATGAGAATGGATTAGAGGGGGTTGTGCTACTAACTAGCAGCATACGGTTTAATTCTGCCAGCTGCCCTAAAGAAGAAAGATGGGCATTCTCCTCTCATGTGATTTGCTGTTACTAGGTATTGTCGAGTGGGAACTGACCCATAGCTGATCCTCCAGTGGGTAAATATTGCCCCTGAAAAATCCACTGACAGGTCAACGTGAGTCGGTTCCAACTCAATGGCACATAATAATAACATCATTACATAAGTGTCTTTTAGAAGTAAACAACTGAATCCATGACAGAGAGTTAAGATTTACTCTTTTGGGGCCAGGTTGACTGTGAAGCTTTTATAAAGAGATAGGTATAAATTCCAGCCACCCAAGGTAAAGTTAGATTCTAAAAATCCAAAATAGCGATTAGTCAGACAAAAAGAACTCGGAACTTTTTTTCTTCGGTTTTCACAGACACTGGGTTGTAATGTCTATTCGCTTTCTCTCACTTCCATTCTTGTTTTCCAGTGTTCACACTTGAGAAAGCCGCTCACCTGGTGTCTGGGGGCTTTTAGCTTGCTCCCTCCCTCCAGCCAGATATAGAAGGGCAGGAGGAAAGTAAGGAGTCTCTCAGGACCAGAATATGCCTCTGGGAATTTCAGGATGTATGTTCGTCAGTCCTTAGAGCTTCCTCAGGGATTGCTTTTTTGGCAGATTTACATTTCTTCTCTAAGACAAGGAGGCAGTAATTCCAGCAGACAGGAGGAGACCTTGCTGAAATACACAGAGAGCCCAAAGTATAATTTATTGCTTTCCATCAAATGCAATTTCTGACCTTTTAGCTGCTGAAATGTCAGACAGAAACTGCTGGGTTTCTCTCTCATGTTGGTGCTGAGCAGCCATGGGGTATCAGGGTGGAAGATACTTGGTCAATTTTTCAGTCTTGGTAGAGAAAAGCTTAAATCCACTCAACTCTTATTAAAAGCCCAGGAGAAAGCTTTTCCCCCAGGTGTCCTGGGCTGTGGAGCTCTCGGAGCTGTGGGCAGCAGTGTTGTTACTGGGAAAGAGGACAAGGGAGAAAGCTTTTAGCAACAGGGGTTTCCCAAGACCCCTACACAATTTACATTAAAGCTCAACACCAAAAATAGGACTGTAAATTGAAAAGCAGGAATTTGGTCAAAACACTGACATCAGGAACCCAAATGGAGCTTTCACTTAAAAGGCTGTCATTAAAGCAAAGCAGAAATTCAAGATGGAGCCCATTGCTAAGTGCTACCTGCTGTCGCTCAGTCAATGCTGGTTCATGGCAAGCCCATGTGTGTCAGAACAGAATGCTCTTTAGACTTTTCAGTGGTTGATTTTTCAGAAGTAGATCAGCAGGTCGTTTTATATGACACTCCTGGTAATCTCTAACTTTTGAATGGCACTTGAGCACATTACTTGTTTTCAATGTCCAGGTTATGAGGACTCCAATAACTGGATCCTCAATAGCAAAGCTATGGCCAATGAGTCAATTCTGATTCTTAATGATCCTCTCTACCAACTTCCAGAGTCTGTAATTCTTAAGGAAGGAAGACTGCCTGCTTTTCTCCTGTTGAGTGGGTTGTTATAGAGTCAAGTATGACCCATTGTGACCTTATGAACAATAGATCTGAACCCTGTACTAGCCTGTGCCATCCTCACAATTTCTGACAACACTCAAGACCATTGCTACTGTCACTGTGTCAATCAATCAGGTTGAAGGTATTCCTCTCTTTCACCAATCATCCACAGAGCAAGGGAACACTGCATGGTTTAAAATTAAGAAGGGAGTGTGCAAGGGTTGTATCCTCACTCCATTTGTATGCTAAGCAAATTATTGAAGAACCTAGACTCTGTGAAAAATAATGTGGCATCAGGATTGGAGGAGGACTCATCAATAACATTCAGTGTGCACATGACATAACCTTGATTGCTGAAAGTGGTGAAGACTTAAAATCCTTGCTGCAAAAGATCAAAGACTGCAGCCTTCAATATGGCTTTCACATCAATGTAAAGAAAACAAAAATTCTAATCACTGGACCAATAGGCAACATCGTGATAGATGGAGAAAAGATTGAAACTGTCAGCAACTTCATCTTACTTTGATCCACAGTTAATGCCCTTTGTACCAGCAGTCAGGAAATCAAGAGATGTATTGAATTAGGAAAGCCTGCAATCAAGGACCTCTTCAAATTACTGAGGAGCAACAATATTATTTTGAGGACTAAGGTGTGCCTGATTCAGACCATGATCTTTTTGGTCACTTGCTATGCATAGGAGAGCTGGACAATGAATAAGGATGACAGAAAAACTGATCCTGTGAAATGTGGTGATGAAGAAGAGTACTGAGTATCCGAGGGAGTGCCAAAACAACAAATAAATATGTCTTGGAGAAGGTGCAGGCAGAATGCTCCTTGTAGGCAAAGTTGATAAGGCTTTGGGTATGTGGCTTAGGACAGGTTATTCCTTAGAGAGTGACATCATGCTTGGTGGAGTAGGTGGTGGATTCAAACTGCCAACTTTTCAGTTAGGACCTCAGCAAGTTACTGAGTAGGCCACCAGGGCTCCTTGTAGCTGAGTTGTTGTTGTGTGCTGTTGAGTTGGAACCAACCCATATCTGACCCTCCAGTGGGTTTTTTAGAGGCTGTAAATGAGATCACTCATCTTCCTCCCTTGGAGCAGCTGATGGATTTGAACTGTCTACCTTTTCAGTAAGGAATTGCCATGCCAACACAAAGGTACACAGTTTGAATGCACCAGCTGCTCCATGGGAAAAAGATAGAGCTGATAAACCTGATAGCTATGAGTTGGTTCTGAGTCAATGATACACAACAACAACAGCAACCATTGGGCAACAGCACAACTGCTTACCACTAAGCAACCAGATATCCCTTACAGCTGAGTAGAAGGCCTTCAAAAATGTATCCTGATTTGATAATTAGGCAAACTGAGAGGAGTTATCTATCAGAAACATAGTAGAATGATCAATGCGGCTGGAGATTGAAACCTAGATATAGTATATAACTTGTCTTTTTATCTATAAAATAGGAATGGGCATCCCAGAATACTTGATTGTGCTTATGCAAAACCTGTACTTGGACCAGGAAGCAACCCTCAGAACAGAGCAGGGAAACACTGCATGGTTCAAAATCAGGAGGAGAGTGTGTCAGGAATGGGTCCTGTCTCCATACCTTTTCAACCTATATGCAGAACAAGTTATGCAGGAGGCTGGGCTTCATGAGGAAGAATGTGGCATCAGTATTGGAGGAAGACTCATCAACTACCTACCTTAAGCAGATGATACAACCTTGCTTGCTGAAACTGAGGAGGACTTGAAGCACTTGCTATAGAAAGTCAAGGACTGGGGTCTTCAATATGGATTGAAGCTCAACATCAAGAAGACAAAGACTTTCACCACTGAGCCAAGTAGCAGCACCATAACAGATGTAAAAGAGATTGAAGTTGTTAACAGTTTCAGCTTGCTCAGCTCCATAATCAACACTTTTGGCACGAGCAGTCAGGAAATCAAAAGACGAATTACACTGGGAAAATCTGCCATCACGGACCTTTTCCAGAGTACTGAGAAGAAACAATGTCAGTCTAGAGACTAAGGTGTGCCTGCTCCAGTCCATGGTCTTCAAAATTACTTGTTATACATCAGAGAGCTGGATAATGACTAAGGAGGATAGAAGAAGAATTGATGCTTCCAAGTTATGGTGCTGGAGAAGAGTCCTGAACACTCCATGACCTGCCAAGGAAACAAACAGGTCTGTCTTGGAGAGGATGAAACTAAGTTTCTCCTTGGAGACTAGAATTTTGAAGCTTTTTTTCACTTACTTTGGGCATGTGGCTAGGAGGGACTGATGCTTGGAAAAGGAAATCATTTTCGGAAAGGTGGAGGAACAGCGCAGGAGAGGAAGACCCCAGATGAGAAGGATTCATAAAATAGGACATTGTGGGTAGGTGTATCGAAGTCAGACTGGCTCAGGACAGGGCAGGCTTCAGAGCTATTATACATAGCGTTGCTATGAATTGCAGGTGATTTGACAGCACATAACAACAACAATCTTAACTAACTAGCATCCCTTAGAGTGCTGTGAAGGTCAAAGGGCATGAAATTTCACTCCAAACTCTGCCATAGCAAACCAGTAAAATATTAATGTCATCCAAGTTAAAGGGCAGAAACAAACTCCAAAATTCTCAGAATCTGAAGGAGAGGTGGGGCTGCAAAAGGGGCCTGTTCGTTGGTGTCCACTGCTGAGGAAATGCCCAGAGATGAACTGGGGGAGGACACTAAGTTGATTGAGCAGAGGTGGACCCTGCCATTTTCCAGTTACAGTAGAACTCAGTCAACCCACTGCACAAACGGACACATAGTTGACCCTCCAATGGGTTTTCAGAGGCTTTCAATAGCATGGAAGGAGACTGTTCATATCTCTCCCTTGAATTCACCAGTGGATTTGAATGACCAGAGAGGCATCACCTTTGGGTTTGCAGCACAGACCCCTAGGGATTACGCCCCCAGAGTTCCCTAATTACGATAGAAGACGCAGGTGATCACCTGTTACAGGGGTCGGGAGAGGTGCAGTGTGGGTGTAGCCCAGCCAGTGAGAAACGGATCATGTTATGGAAGATGTGACTAAGAATGAGAAGGTGCGAAGATCCACACATCCTTATTCTTTCTAGAGGGGACTTTCATCTCACGTTTTCTGTGTAAACCTAAATTCTTGTTTTCATAGACAGTTACAAGCCTTCATGTGTTTAATCAATGAGTTTAAAATGGAAATTCTCCCTCACCACCCTAAGATTTCTCCTTGGAAAGAACAATATTGAGAAGCAATTCTGTTCTCTTAATCTGTTTCCTGTTAACCAAGGTTTAGGCTTAACTCTCTTTCTCATTTCCAAACAAAGTAGAATCTTCTTTAATAGACAGCTAAATGGTTCTAGAGCTGGATTCATTGCCAGGTGTTCTGCTCCTGGACTTGGGAGCTACTCCCACTCCTTGATGGCCATCTATGTCCTGATGTCCAGGAGCTTCTCATGTAGAAACAAGGTGGACCTGTGTGTGCAAAGGCTAACTTTGCTCCCACAGAGGGCTGTCATTAGCAATGGGTATGTTTTGATATGTGGGTTTGAGTATGTATGTGTATGTGAGTGTGTTTGTGAAGGACAGTATGTATATAAAAGTGTGTGTTATGTGCTTGTGTGAATCAATAAGAGAGTGACTCCTCTGGGTGCACAGCCCTGTCCTATGGGGCCTCATATCTCATTTCCATGCATATACATTACATGCCTGTACATTACATGCCTTTGCCTCTTCCTTCTGCCAGAAAGACTATAATAGCTCTGCTGCTTCTAGATTTTAGAACTTTAGCCCTTGAATGACATTTCAAAAGCTTCATTTCTAGAATTCTCATTTTGCAGATGAGGGGCCTGAAGCACAGAAATATGAGGCATGTAGTTAAGTGCCCAGTTCTCCTTCTGGAGCTCTTAGCCAGGCTGCACCTCACATGTGCACTCTGATGTCCCCTCTGGTCTCTATCCATCTGACATGCATTCAGGGACTTCTGAAGAATACATCTAGTTCATCTCTCCAGGAGTTCTTGGACCATATCTGTCCATCTGGTGGTCAGGAACTGCTCTTCTCCTCCATGTCCTTATACCCCCCTCTCAACCCTGTAAAGCCCACAGCTGGCTATCATTTCTATTCTCGGGAATGACAGTGCTGGGCACCCCAGCTACAGGAACCGGTAAGGACGCTGTCCATCCCCTACGGCAGCACCTGCCCAGGTTGCAATCTGACATCTGAGAGTCTCTTGAAATCTGCTTAGTGACCTTTGTGCCTTCTCCATGGATGACCTCAGCATTAGCAGATGACCTTCCAGAGCATCATCCTGCTAGGGCCATGGGTCCTTATGGCATTGTGCACATTGGCTTCCCTGTCTGGTCACTTTATCTGTGCTGCTGCAGGTTTGCAGAGCCCAGTCTACCTGACCTTTTTACTCCTGCAGCTTGTGGACTACCGGACAGAGTTCAGCAAGTGGTGGCTGACCGAGTTCAAGACTGTCAAGTTCCCTTCTCAAGGAACCATCTTTGACTACTACATAGACCCAGAGACCAAGAAATTTGAGCCTTGGTCCAAGCTAATACCCCAGTTTGAATTTGACCCCGAGACGCCATTGCAGGTGAGTGGTGCAGAGTAGGCCCAGGGGTAGCCCCACATCAGAATATACATGTCTTGTCATGTTAGGTGGTGTAGACAGTCAAACACGCAGCTGCTAACTGAAAGGTTGCAGGTGTGAATCCACTTCAAGGTAGCTAGGAAGAAGAAATGGAGGATTCCTTTAGGAAAATCAGCCACTGACAGGCCTTTGCAGCACATTTCAACTCTGACATATGTGAAGTCCCCACCAGTTGTAACTGGTGGTTAGGAGCATGGAGTCTCCCAAATGCACACATTTCCAGAGCAAATCAGAGTTGTAAGGCAGTCACAAGACCAACCATTTCTAGGAAACTTAAGTACTAGTCTAAGCAGACATCTGATAGGGAGAGGGGTACAGGAAAATTCCAAAAGATATTGGAGTGGCCACAGGGGACAGCTGGAAGAGAAGAGTGGGATGTTGTCCACCCAACTGCTGGGAACCACAAAAATGGGTTTCTAGGATGTTGTTGTTGTTGTTAAGTGCCGTCAAGTCATAGACAACTCATAGAGACCCTATGAAAAAAAGACCTGAACACTTGTATAACTTTCTTTGTTTCTCCACATTCATAGAGTTTCTAGAGGCAAGCTATTTTGGAAGTGGATGTCACTCCTGCTTCCAAGCTTGTTTTAATCAAGGAGCTCCACCAAACACTGTCCACCATGGGTAACCATTATCTCATTTGACACATCAGTGTCACAGTGTTTAGCATCAAAGCAACCACGAGTTACCTCTGTACAGCAAATGGACAGACTAGGGCTATACCAATTAGAAGAATGTCTGACCAAAACCAATTAAAACCAAGCATTAGGGCTACAGATTAAAATCACCCACCTTTGGCTTGGTAACATCACTTTCTGTACACTAGGCCAACATAGCTCTCTCTATGTTGCTGTTGTTAAGTGCCATGAAATCCCTGAGTGGTACAATTAACGCTCTAGGCTACCTCAGCTGAAAAGGTGGGGCTTTGAGTCCACCCAGGAGCCACTTCAAAGTTCTGGCGGTCTCCTCACAAAATCTGCCACTGAAAGCCTTGTGCACTGGGGTGTATCCCTGAGGTCATCATGAGTCCAGATCAAGTCAGACTACTGTGTGGTGTGTGGTTAGTGTTGCTCCCACAAGCCTTGCATGCTCACTGTGTTACCATCTCAGGCATGTCTGGTGCACACGAGCGAGACCATCCGAGTGTGCTACTTCATGGAGCGGCTGCTGGCACGGCGGCGGCCTGTCATGCTGGTGGGCACGGCTGGCACTGGCAAGTCGGTGCTGGTGGGAGCCAAGCTGGCCAGCCTAGACCCTGAGGAGTACCTGGTGAAGAACGTGCCCTTTAACTACTACACCACATCAGCAATGCTGCAAGGTGAGGGTCTGTGCATGGGGTTGGGGATGGGGGACTGGAGGAAGTCTAGGTGGCCTTGTCACCTCACATGGTTCTAGAGTGAGCATCAGACATAGCTACTGGTTTTGATGTCCCAGAAACAGCATTGTTCATGTCCTCTCTTTCACTCCTCTCTTCCTATACTCACCACAATGCTGCAGGCTTGCATCTGTACTTCTTCCACACGCCCTTGCTTCCTTCTCCCATTCTTTCTCCTCATAACCCTCCCTGACAAGCAAAATCCAGAAGAGTGGTACATTCAGCACAGTTCAGCTCAGTGATGATAAATAAAGTTGAATGTCTATGGTGTGATGAAGATGTTTATGTGAGTCTGTTGTGAGATGTGTCTGTGGAGATTTGATTCATCCAAGTAACCTGGAGGAAGCCCTAGTGGCATAGTGGGTTCTTGTCTGCTAGCCAAGAGATGCTCAGAATCCACCAGTCACTCCAAAGGATAAAGCTGAGGTGGTTTCACTCTCATAATTAGGGAGCTTTAGTGGCTTCGTGGTAAGGAGCTGTGCTGCCAACCCAAAGGAACAAGCCACCAAATCCACCAGCTACTCTGAGGGAGAAATATGGGCAATCTCCACCATGTGATTTGCTGTCTCTTAAGACCCACTGGAAGGTCAACTATGAGTCAGACCTGACTTGACAGTGCACAACAACAACTCTTAAAGATTCCCGGCCTTGAAAAGCCTATGGACCACTTCTAGACTATCCTATGGGGTCCCTCTGAGTCAGAATCTACTTAATGACAGTGGATTGTACCTAGCATTGGTAGCTTGGGCCCATCCAGCAGCATCATGTCCGAAAGGCCTGGTGATCTGCTTCCACAAAGATGACAACTAAAGAAATCTTATGAAGCAGGTCTGCTCTATAATACACAGGGTTGCCGTCCATTGGAAACTACCCAATAGCAGCAGGTCTGGCTTTTAGTTTAGGTTTGGTTTTCATCTCATAGAGAAGGAAATCGATGCTCTGGTAAAAGTATGTGATTTCCCACTGTCTCTGGAAGGCAAGGCAGACATGGTACTGTCCTCTCCCTCTCCCTGCGGCACAGTCATAACTGTGGGCACATGAACAGAGATGAGCCACCATTGTGGCTTCAGCCTTAAGAGCTTCCTGAAGTGAAGTTCTCTTCTCCTCACTATTAGTGGAGTCTCCTTTTTATATAGAAACACTCATTAATCAAAGCTGGAAATAGCTTGCTTTGAAGAAGCATATTATACTTGTCTAGCTGACATAAGTTTTAACACTGTTGGTGGTTCTACCTAATAGGATTCTCCCATCTCCCAGGATGGGATAAATCTAAATCTGTGCTTATTTGATTCAAGGTTACCAGCTCTGCCCATTTACTCCAGGTGTTACTGCTATTACCAGTTGCACTGGAGTTAGTTCCAACTCATGGTGACTCCATTTAAGCCACAATAAAATTAGGCTCTGTGGTGTTTTCAGTGGCTGATTTTTTAAAGAAGTAGATCACTCAGTCTTTCTTCTGAAGCACCTCAAGGTGGACCTGAACCTCTAACCTTTCAGTTAATTGCTGATACGGTGTTAATCCTTTGCACCATCCAGGGATTTTATTACTACTTGTTATTGTTTTGTGCCATTGAATAAATTCCAGCTCATGGCAGCCCCATATGTTTGTTACATGTTACAGCAGAAATTCCCTACAGGGGTTTGGTTTTGTTTTTGATTGTTTGACTTTAACTTTATGGAAGTTCTCCTCCAGACCTTATCTTTCATGGTGCTGCCAGGTGGATTTAAAGCACTAACATAGAATAGTTATCCTAAAATGTTACCTATCCAGAATCAATTGAGGATTGAGAAGTAAGACAAAGTCCCAGAGTAGCCAACATAGATGTCACAAAGTCCATGAAGTCAATCTCAGATCCTTGAATCTAAAATATGCAAATACCACTATGTTGACATTGCTGCATTGACATCATCCCCACCACACTGCCACATCAACATCATCATGCTGTCCTGAATCAGGAGCACCAATAGTACATGTGAAGCCAAAACCCTTCCTGAACACCATCTTGGTATACCTGGCTCCTCCCAGACCCAGTACTTGAGCTTCAGGCTCTTTGGACGCCAACTACCTGTGGCAGTTGCCCAGGTGAGAAGGCTACAAATTCACAGACCATCTCTGTCCCCAGCTGAAGCAAATCTACCCTTGAGTCAAAGAATCAAAGAGAAATTTAGGCAGGGTAAGCTGACCTTCCTTCCATTGGAGCAGTGAGCTCCTGAGCCAAGGTTATTAGACCAAGGATTTGCTAAGGCACCAGGACCAAAAAACTCTACCACAGTAATGACACAAAAGAAGCAGACAACCTCACACCCTACACAAAACCAAAACAAGATGTCACCCCTAAAAACTGATAAAAGAACAGAATCCATGGATTTCCTGAAGCCAGAAAGTCTGATTGAGCTTTCTGACACAGAATACAAAAGAACAATGATTGGATATTCTCAGTAGGTTGAAGACAAACCCGAAGAATTGCAGGACTGTGCAAGCAAAAGCCAAGAGAAACATAAAAAAGACAATATATATAAAAGCTCTGGAAAACAAGAAACCACAATCCAGAATATGAAGACCAATGTTTCAGAGGCTGACAACGTGTTGGAAGGACTTATGAGTAGAATTGTTGGAAGGACTTATGAGTAGAGTTGAAGAGATGGAACACAGAACAAGTGAAATAGAAGATAGAATTCTTAGCACTGGTCTGCTCAAACAAAAAGCAGAATCAAAAAAGGAAGACAAAGAAGAAAGTCTAAAAATAATGTGGAACACCATCAAGAGGAATAACATGTGTATAACTGGAATCCCAGAACAGGAAGAAAGAACTAAAGGCCAATTGGAAGAATTTATTAGCAGAAAATGTTCCAGGCATAATGAAGAATGAGAGAATATATATACAAGAAGCTGAGCAAACTCCATATAGAATAGACCCCAAAAGAAAAATAGTAAGGCATATCATAGTCAAATTTTCCAGAACCAAAGATAAGGAGAGAATTCTGAAAGCAGCTAGGGAGAAACGAAGAGTAACCTATGAGGAAGAGAAAATAAGATTAAATGCCAATTTCTCAGTAGACACTATGTGAGCAAAAAGACAGTGGGATGACATATATCAAACATATAAAGAACACAACTGTCAGTCAAGAGTACTGTACTCAGCAAAACTGTCCATCAAAGATGATGGAGAAATCAAGATATTCTCAGGAAAGCAAAACCTAAAGGAAACAAGAACAGCATTGCAGGAAACACTGAGACACGTCCTTCTTACAGAGATGCTGCAGAAAGCAGCATGGACCAAATTAAGCAGCAACAATATCAAAAAGAACTTAAAAAAAAGTGATAGCAATAAAACCTTGCTTCTCAATAATAACACTGAATGTAAATGGTTTAAATGCACCAATGAAGAGGAAAAGTGTAGCAGATTGGATAAAAAATAAAACCCATCAAGAAGCTATCTACAAGAGACACACTTGAAATGTGACAATAAAGAAAGACTAAAAATAAGAGTGGAAAAAATATACAAGCAAATGGCAACCAGGAAAAAGCAGGAGTAACTATATTAATCTCTGATAAAATAGATTTCAGTGTTAAAAGCCATCTCAAAGGACAAGGAAGGTCACTATATAATACTGTAAGGGTCAAAAGAACAAGAGGGCATAACAATAATAAATATCTATGCACCAAATGATAGAGCTACAAAATATACAAAGCAAACATTAACAGAACTGAAAAAATAAATACACAACACCACAATTATAGTAGGAAACTTCAATACACCACTCTCAAGATAAGATAGAAGTAACAGAAAGAAACTCAACAAAAAAGCTTAAGAATTAAACCACACAATAAACCAACTCGATCTCATAAATATGTACACCCCATGTGCTGAGGCACCCCCAAAGAGCACAGTATACTTTCTCCAATGTGCATGAAATGTTCTCCAGAATAGATCGCATTTTAGGTCACAAAGCCAAAGCACACATCAATAAATTTAGAAACAAAGAAATAATACAAAGCATAGTCTCAGACCACAATGCTACAAGATTAGAAATTAACTACAAGAGAATAAAGGAGAAAACAAATCCATATACTTGGAAGGTGTACAACACACCCTGCTTAAACATGAATGGGTGATAGAAGAAACAAAACAGTTTCTTTAAACAAATGACAATAAAAACACAACTTACCAAAACCTCTGAGGAATAATCCAAGCAGTAATTAATTAGAGGTCAATTTCTCAATAAGGAAACACATCAAAATGGAAGAAAAAAATTATAATTCTTTCTTTAACTCAACATCTACAAGTTGAAAAGGAACAGCAAGAAAACGAAACACCCTCTTAAAAAAAGAAATTATAAAAATTAGGGCAGAAATATATAATAGAAAAACAACTGAAACAATCAACATGACCAAGATTTGGTTCTTTGAAAGGGTAAATAAAATCCACAAGCCACTAGCAAAACTAACAAAAGAAAAGACGCAAATAATCCGAATAACATATGAAAGGGGCAATGTCACAACAGAACAACTAAAATAAACAGGTTAACAATGGAATATTACTAAGAACTATGCTCATGTAAATATGAAAACCTAGAGGAAATGGACAAATACTTAGAAACTACCTACCTACCTAAACTGACAAAGATCAAAGTATAACACCTGAACAGATCCATTACAAAACAAAAAACTGAAGAGGTAGCAAAACAATATCCAACAAAAAGAAGCCCTGGACCAGATGGTTTTACTATGAATTTTATAAAACCTTGAAAGAACTATCACTAATTCTACATAAAGTATTTCAGAAAATAGAATAAGATGGAATTCTCAGAAACTCAGGTAAAGACACCACCAAAATAGAAAACTATAGGCCAATGTCTCTCATGAATATAGATTCAAAAATCATCAATAAAATTCTGGCCAATATAATCCAACAGTAAGTACATGAAAAAAATAATGCACC